GGGCAGAGACACCGACATAGAGAGACATATAGAGATTTATATATATATATATATATATATATATATATATATATGTGAGATGTTTGAGCTGCCCCATCTGCCATAAACCTTTCAGACAAGTAACCATGGTTGAACCGTGTTGTCACCGATGTGATTTTTCTCATTTTTTAATCTTAATTTCATTTTTTTTTATTTATTTAATTCTTTTTTTTTTTTGAATAATTATTTATTTAATCTATTTGTTTGTGAATAGGGTGCTAAAGGTTTCATTTTTTTCAGATATGTTGACATAGAAAGAATCTTTAGTCTAACTTAATTCAGATCTTAGATTTTGTTTATGTCACATGTTTATTTTCCCTCTTAATCACATGATTTTTTTTACTCCAATCCATGATTTCAATTTAATTACTTAGATTTAAAATTGATTTTTTTAGAATTTTTTTTATTATTTTTTATTTGATCCGGAGTTATATATATAATCGGGTATGAATGGAATCAATATTTGTTTTAAGAAAAAATGACTTGAGCTAGTAGCATCGTTCCACGTGGAAGTGTCGGTTAATTCGAATTCCTTCTTGTACGTACGTATGCCGTACATAAATTATAATAAGATGAATTGTAGAAACAAAATGTATTTACTTTATGTGAAAATATTTGGTATATAATGATAAGTTAATATTGGGGATCTTGATTTTTTTTTCCTTTTAAATTAGAAAAAAAAAAAAAAATTAGTTTGTCATAACTGCATAACGAGGAAGATTACTGAAGAGGGGTTACATAGTTGTCCAGTATGCAATGCTCATCTTGGTTCTGCTCCACTTCAAAGGCTCAGGTATTATAATTAATTAATTAATTAATTATAAGACTCGATTATGTCGTTATCGTAAATAGTCGTAAATAGTTTATGCATGGTTTAAAATCTACAGGATGGACCATCGTTGGCAAAGCATGATGAACAATTTCAACAATGAAGGAAGAAGAGAACAACATGCAGGAAGTGGACTAAATGTAAGAGAAGAAACAAATAAATAAATAAATTAATTAATTAATTAATTAATTTTTAAAATTATTGTCATCTGATTTTAAAATGATATATCGAATCTAATTAATTTACGAAGCGAAAACGAGGTACTAATACATCATCATATAAGTGCACATTTCGAGCATTTAATGTACTTTTCCGTCGTCGCGTTTTTCTAATGTACACACATACATACCTAATTAACTCTATTTATTACTTAATAAAGGTGGAGATTACTCTGCAAGGACGAAGATTGCTACCTAGTTTGCAAATAAGTCGATTGATCGAACTGTGGCTGCAAACGTTTTCTACCTCAGAAAGGAAAACGGCAATTGTCGATCGGTTCGTCCGCACAGGAGTTTGTCCTGCCTCTTACATATGCTCGTAATTAACCTGCTTTTTAATTTCTCCTTAAATAAATTATGACTATTAGAATCTTAATTTCGATTATTGTTAAACTAGCCTTTTCTGCACAATTATCGTACTTTTTAAGACCTTAATTATTTAATTAGCAGATTTGCTACCAAACCTTGGTTTAATTTCTATAATATACTTTATTGTGACATGGTCCTAGGTTATTACATATATACTAATAATGTGTTAATTTAGTGCATGTCTCT